ACCATGTCCAAATCCACGTAACTCTCCTCTTCCAGCCCCTCGCACTAAACCAAGATCTACAAAAAGTCACAGAGCGCAACAACCACCTCTGACCCTTCCACACATGAAAACAGACAATCCTGTTTGTGTTCAAGATGATCCAAATACTTATGTGTGATAACTATGTTTTGGGGTTAGTAATTACTGTGGGAGGAATAAAAATTGAATTACTGGGGTTGGGATTTCAGAAAAGCACATATACTTAGGTTTATGTTGACCTATTTTTTAAAATATATTAAAGAGGTTTTTCTTTGTTTTATTGATCATTTAATTGGTGATTTACTAATCAGATGGGGGAGTGTAATAGAACTGATACTTTTATGTTTAAGCAAGTAAAACATGACATCCTTTAATGACCTAGGTTTTCATGACATGCTGTTCATCTGCAGARAGAATGATTAAAGTCAGAACAAGATTTGCTAACAACAATAATCATTCTTAGATATCACTTGTGTTTATCTTTGTGTTTTCCATTGACCTTGTATCAAATCTTGCTAAGATGACAGAATGGTGTTTGTTAATATACTGTATATATGAGGCCTCTTGAGACACAGTTCAACAGTAGTGTGGAGAGACAGTGACAGAGAGAAGCAGAGGCACAGAGACAGGCCAAGTTGTTGTCTGTGTTTCCTGTGGTTGCAATAAAACTCAGCTGATCATCTCACGGAGTACCTTCATTCTTGGATCACGTATTTCTGTCTTTGTTAAATAACAACATGTACAGTATGAACCTGGCGAGATTAAGATTAAACAAACACCAAGCCCAAATCCAGCTAACTCTCATCTTCCAGCCCCTCGCACTAAACCGAGATCTACAAAGATTCACAGAGCCCCACCACCATCCATCACCACTAGTAGCAGTAGTGCGCCACTCAGTTGTTTAACAACTTTTTTAATACAGTATGTAGAAGAAGAACCTTAGAAACGAGAATGGAAACCTATTTTAAATAAAAAGTAGAAGCAAAAATGAAAGTGACTCGTCAAAAAACACCAAAGTTTGTCACTAATATGAAGAGCAGCTTCTGTTTTTACCATAAAATATTTTAAAAGTTCAAAAC